GTATGACTTACGGGAGCCGACTGATTCGTAAACCAGTTTTCGGTCCTCCCAGGCGAACCGGGCACCATTTTACTAACCCTAGAGGCTAGAAGGAACGGCTGTCCTCGGCGGGAGCCGACCGGCATGTGGACCCCTGGTGGGCAACCGTGCTAAGCTGCCTACTTGCCTCTACAACACCTCACCCTCTATTTATAATCGATAGTTAGTGATAGTTATCATAAATACAAGGCTATTGGGTATAAAAAACAGTTAATACATTGTCTACGGTATGGTTATAGCCGGATCAATACCGAGCAATTTATAGGGGCACTGCAGAAAGATTACCCAGGTACATAAAGCACTTTGAGGAGCAGCGTATCAGACATTAATGTATCACAAGTTATGAATAATTATTAATATTAATTAATTGCCAACTTGCTATGTTTATTAATTATTTTTTGTATTTTTCAATTTCCGTTTTTTATTCTTATTTATTTCTAATTTTAAACCCATTTCTCTGAAGCTTTTCCTTTTTGAGGTCGAACCCTGACAGTGAGATTTTCACCTGAATCTGATGGATTCGAATGAATCGAGGACAGGTATAACTAGTTTTTCATTTTCTGTTGGTTTACAAGAAATTTTTGGGGAATGGAGCCCTCAGAATTTTTCTAATAAAAGCAACTGAAGAAAGTTCGAAGTTTTAAACTTCTGGATTGGTGGAATCAGTCAATCAATCGAATCAGCATCATCGTCATCATCAGTTTGGTGATTAAAGGTCAGACAATCATCTCCCACCCCCCCCTTCTCCCCGCAAAGGGTACAGTATAGAAATGAAAGAAGTTTCCGGTACGACTCCCACCCCTTCCTACCTAGTACCTTGCTGGGCTTTCCCAACTTCCTTTTTCTCAGTCTCCCGAAAAATTAAAAAAAAACCATCATGGAGGGCGGAGGGAGGGGGAGGAGGTCGTTAAAAGGACAACTATTAATTTTAACCAAGCAAAAATAGCGGTTTTACTGGACTTCGACGGCCTCGTTAACTAGGAAGGAAGAGGATTAGATAACCTTATTTGTAAAGAAGGTAGGGCGACGCAGCCAACTAGGGCCAATTAACTCCCCCTTCCTATTCTCCAAGTAGCTCTGCCACTGGCATTCCATTCTGAAGCGTTGTTCATTATAAGGATGGTTTACGAAGGAGGTACAAATTAGAAAGTGCCAGAATGATGCCTACGAGCTGTTTAATTTTCTGATTTTCTCATTCATTTACCACTAACCATAAGCAAAAAATGGATTTTTAGGTGTTCTCCGGATACCACATCATATCGCGCCATCATCGCTTTCCCTAGGGCATCATTGTTGATTGGCCATGTCTTTGTGAGATTATTGTACAAATTAGTGTACTTATATTTTGTAATTGTGATGTGTTCTTTTAGGGACATCTAATAAATTCCTTTTCTGCTTGTGGGTCTGAAACGCTCCTTGTTCATTTTCCCCTTCACTGCAATGACTCGAAAGGATGACCAAGGTCAAGGACTGGAATGGCCACAGAGAATAGTGAATGAGAGGAATAGCGCTGTTGCAACAGACTTGGGAAGACCTAAGACAACTTGCGACTCAAGAGCGCAGAAATGAGCGGATACCTCTTACGTCTCTGATATCAGGCACCACCCTTTTCACATGGTTGGAGGTTGGGGGGGGGGGGCGGGAGCGGACGACCAACCGTATGACAAATGACATGGCTACGAGACTCTACCAATTTCGTGAAGCTTCACCTTTGTGTTGACAGACCTCCCCCCCCACACTATCTGAGTGGCTAACTGACCAGTGTCTATTGTAAGATATTGCACGGTGCGACCCACTCGGAATACCAGCAACCACTCAATCTTCCTGGGATATAAAAAGGATTCCTTTCGGTCAGCAAACATCTGGTGAAACAATAGCAAACATTATAGAACGGTTTTATTACGTGAAAAATAACAAAACACAATCAGGAATCAATTTTTTTTCAAAGATTCAGACCAATCTACTACAAAATTATCTCGTAAAATATTAACCTCGTTGAAAAACGCAAATGCGAGAAACGAGTTGATTCGTATGAACTACTGGAATATTGCTGTGTGTACACTCAAAGTATAGTGGAATTCATGATTTACCTATGAAAAATCAAAACAACTGTGTTTCAAACTCAGTTTACAATCATTTTTAAGCACTGTATACCAGTAAATGAGACTGGCGCTCGTTAGAAGGCTTTGTCTGAACTTGGCTGGACAATTCTCATTGTACTGGGAATCATGGATATAACCTTGTGCAACATACGAAGCTAGTAGAACAGTTACATGACTATATTTACAAGCAGGGTGAGAATACTGTTCTGAGCGTGGCGAACTTACTACATACAAAACATAGAAGGGAACAAAAATTGAAAACTTTTGAATGATGCCTATGACTTGGCTTTGACGCTGCTCATTCTAGTAGTCAACCCTATTAAAACCGGTTAACAATGTGGTCAGGACTGTCAAATGTTGAACTCTAAGAGATCAAAATCAGAAGAAAATAACTGATCATAGCACAATGGCAAGGCAATGTAACTATGCCGAATACTGTAACGAAAAGCTTGGCAAGAGATTCAGTGAAAATCGTTGACAACATGATGAGGAGTATCGAGAAATTCGTGCATCCTACTTGTCGTTATCCAAATTTGCTTGATATTGGGCCATCTGAAGAAGATGAAAGTAGTTACACTGAAGCCATAACCAGAGCGGTAAAAATGATCAAGCGGATGAAAATGGATCCCGGTTTATCGAGGGGGATGTGCTGCCAGGTCGCTGCGCTGCTGGCGAAACCGCAGTCGTCGCGTACGAGTTGTCTCATGGCTCTTCAAAATCGCCTTCAAACGGACAGACGGTCCCCAACCGAGCATTGGTCGGGCAGCCGAGAACTAACAGAAATTCATCGCTATAAAGACAACCCACGTATAGGGGATAGAAACTCTGGAATTACCGTGCCATTCGCCGGGCTCGACGTGAGCGGCAAGACTTTACTAGCTCACCATAGAATCACCAGTCTCCACTAAAATGCACATGGCCTAGCATGGAGGGACGAAAGCATGTGGCACTAAGAGGTGCGTGCGTGAACAAAAAAAAGCCAAAAAAGCGTCAAAACGCCGCAGATAAGGACCCCGGCTTTGGGTCCTGTACGAGTCCCCTGCGCTCGGACGAGTTTTCAGAACGTGTCGTAAAAAACGTGTAAAAAACCTGTCGCTACGAAACATTAATATATGCAACGGAAGACAGAAGACAGCGCCAACAAAGTGGGGCGGGACCGCGCACCAAAGGCGGAGACACCGTACGCCACATACCCCCCCCCCAGCACTTTTACCACGCATTTCACGAAAGTGGCACATCATATTTGATTGTGGAGCAGCAGATCACCCCAGGGGAGGAGGCCTGTCCTTCAGCTGATCGTGGACACTACGATAAACATTAAGGTTTGCAATTTTTGTTTCACTGTGAAGAGATTGTTATGTGGAACTCTTTATGGTTTTGGCCTGACATTCCGACTGGATCGTCAGGCGTAATTCAATGGAGGCAAGATTCCCACCTCATTTCCGAATGGATCGTAGGCGTAATCAATGGAGAGATCCACCTAACAATGTCTTTGGCACAGTGAAATTAAAGACTGCAAAGTTTACAAGAATGCGGAGATTTTATGGTACAGAAATTGGGACACAAACATTAAGGGTTTAAAAGCAACGAACTCACTAATTGAGGGTTATAAGCAGAGAGATCGAATCCAGGAGGCATTCCCATATGGCTAAGATCTTGACCAGGTAACATTCCTTGATAAGGGTTCAACATTGATGAGGATCCTGCCAGCATACCATAGTTGGCTCCAGGAAGACCTAGGATTGCGAAGACTTCTAAAACTCTCCAGAAAAAAAAGAAACAGAAGCAAATCAAATACCTCCAAGACCATGGGCTGCCGCTTTCTTTGCAGCGTACATATTAGCTTCTTCTTGCGCTTTGGCGATGTTCTTCTTATAGCGAATCCGCTTATTACCGAACCAATTCGATACCTAGAAAACCACAATTTACCTTTACAACATAATGAAAAGAACATTCCCAAGTTTTCGCAATAAATCTAACACTTGCTGATTATGAAATGGATTCATAAATCAGCCGCGTCCCGAACGTTTATCGATTATTACACTCACTGAAAATAACAAAGGAACCGAAAAAATGCACATCAGGAACACCACACCGACCTGGGACACTGTAATGTTACACTGCCGAGCGAGTTCCTCTTTGGCCTCCTCCGACGGGTACGGATTGCTCAGGTGTGAGTAGAAATATTCATTGAGAACTTCCGTTGCTTGTTTTGAGAAATTACGACGCTTACGCCTGGAAATAAAGAAGTTATTACTCCAGTGCACCACGAACGATAGCCTCCTGTTGAAACTAACGACGAAAATGCCCTGAATAAGACCCTTTGGTTGCTAGCATTGTACATTATAGACAGCACGACAGCGGGACAGCGTAATAAGTTGTCGGCGCGCACAATGTGCATAGGACGCCAGGTAGTTGTAAGCTGTGCCTTTATTTCTTTGTGTAACGATGGATTAATTTTTGATACGGTTGGCAATATACTGACAAAATCAAATGTATATACGGCGCTGTTCCACTTGGGAGAGACAATTTGTACTTTCGCGAGTTCTTTTTGTAACTTCGTGTTAATTACCAGGTTACGCTTAGCTGAAAATTGTAAAAGCTGAAAAAGGGTATAGGTCAGCAACTTTTGAGACATAAATTTGCAGATATTCACAAGGTGGCGTGAACTAGTTTCGGTATGTACCATGTAGTGCCCCTACGGAGGCGAGCTGCGACAGATTATTCATACAAGTCACCAGAAAAGGGTACTGCAAAAGGCAAAAATGTTCACCTTGCATCCAAAAAACGACTTCTCAAGATCATGACAGCTTCGCACGTGGACTGCTTAAGCTGGACTTGGATGCCGCTGAACTTCTTTTGGATTATCGACACCATTCGTTCAATCTCCTGAACCAACAGAAAATAGAAAGCAAATATTTATCAAGTAGTAATTGCAATAAGAGCATTAATGGAATTATAATGGAAAAAAATATAGAGGAAGAGAAGGGAAAACAAATGAACAAATAACAGTTCACTCACCTTCTGACTAATAGGTCGGACACGAGACTGATCTTTAAGTAAGGACATCACGTGTTGAGTGAATTCCGAGCATGCCTAAAAAATTTCATGATAATAGCGCAAGTTAACGAACTCAAGCTCAGTAATAAGTTAATGTAAAACCTCTTCATATTTCTGGAGCTCTTGATTATAGACAAGACGAATTTGGCCGAGTTTTTGACGATAGTCAGCCTGATCTCCACCGGAAGCATCCCCCGAAAGCGGCGCACCTTTGTCTGGTCCTGCTACGCCTTCGGCCACCTAAAATGGCAATGCAGTACTACATAACAATGTTCGAATCGGTATAAAAGGCGATCAGGCAGAATGAAACTCACCAGCATATTATCCAACCGCATCAATTGAGGATCCTCCGGTTGATCATCATTTCCTGCTCGTATTTGTAAGGCTGAAACAATCCACATACTGCATACACGAGACACATCCAGTACCAAGACCAAAGGGTCTCCAAACATAGTCCAAACGCATTTTAATAAAAAGGTTAGAAAAACTAGTTGTAGGAAGATAAAAACTGCTTAACTGACCAGTTTTCTCTTTAACTTCACAAAGTACGTCAAACAAAGCTTGTCGCATTGGATGACACTGAAGAGCATGCTTTCTGAAAAAAAATTAACTATCGGCCAGGCCTCACTAACGCTTGAATAGCACTCACATATCACTGAAATGAGCTTGAAAACGGATTGGAGGAGGGGGATTAGGAAGAGGGGAAGAATGGACGGTTATAACTCGCAGCGGTAACCGTCTTCTCTTGAAACTCGAAAAAACGCAGGTTTTCTAGAGTAGCTCATTACCCATAGAGCGCCATTCAGCTTATCCTCATTTTTGAAAATAAACGAAGCATTTGTAGGAACATGGAAGGGTTCAAGACGGGGTCTGTGAGGAAGTAAAAAATTCCAGCCAGTGCTATTTGAACATGTCCAGGATATCACTTTTTTTTTACACTATTAGTGAATTACATGGCGTGCCAGATACGGCACGCCACGGGAAGGGGGGAGGTGGGTGGGAGTGTGAGGCTAATTTTTCTCAATATGACCCCATGCATGGAGTGGAAAGAAAGAACGATTACCCAGTAAACTGCCAAAAATGATCCCTGCTAAAAATGTCCCCCCCCCCTCTTCTTGCATTACCTCCCTTCGAAACCATCACAAAGCTGAACAGAGGGAGAGAAGCTACTGTAACGCTGTGAAGCTACTGCGACGCTAACGGCCCAGAGAAAGTTAGACCACCTAATTAGCGCTGAGGGATCCCAAGTGCAACCCCCCAAACCCTGATTCGGGAAAAAAACATTATGCGATAGTAACGATACAGATGGGGTGACTATAACAACCCTACTAGGAATCCAGAAGTGTATGAGTCTCAGAAAAAAAGGGCATGCCATAGTCACTTACTTCACGTTATCGTTATCCTCTAGAGTTTGTTCAGAAATTTTCATAAGCTCTTGGAGCAAATCATTCAACGAAACCGGGCTCGGATCCATCGTGCCCACCATTCCTATAAAAATGTGTTGCTGTTGTCTCAATTTTTTGTAACAGTATCGGAATGCAAACTACTCGCTCGAAACAAATGGTGGAGAAATGTTCGACGGACAGCAACAACGGAGGTCACGAAATTTCAGCGAAATTGGCAATATTATGATGAAGATCAGGAAATGTGATTAGCGTCCAGAAAGCTTAGTATGAACGGATGCCTCAAAAGGTTTGACTTTATGTTTTATGTGAACAAGAAAACACCAGAACTTTGGTAGGAGTTAAAAGTGCAATACAAGATGGGAACTGTCTAGTCAAAGGGCCGGACAGTCACGATTTTCCTTACTTTGGCACCACTCCTATCAAATGGAACATTTGGATGCCGAAATATTCTATTTTTTATTTAAACACATGGTGTATGAGTACCTGAGAGGTTGCAACTTTCCTGGCATGAAGCGCTCGCGTCCACAATGGAGACGTCATGACAATCTCGCATCACCAAGAAGCACTGAACAGACAGGGAAAGGGGAAGAAGAAGCGTTCCAACATTATTACGAACCTCCACATTTCCGAGTTCGTCTAACGATCCATTGAGAACCACTTCTGTTTCACTTTAATAAGAATAGCGCCCTTATGTCATGCGCAATCGCTCACAGTCCACACAAGCTCCTTTCCTACGCCGCGCTTGACAAGCATACCTCACAACTGCCTACGATTCACGCAATGACAGTGCTCACTGTTCTCGTCAGGAACGACCTACACAAGAGAATATTCTTACGACAATATAGGACAACCAGTAGTTATACCTCAGAGAGAAAGAATGTGAAAGTATTCTGAGAGACCTGACTCCAGAGAAATTTCAATTTCTGACCTTAAGTGCTTCGGCTAATTCAACTGATCGCTAGAAACGTCGCTAGAAACTGATCATACTGCAATTTTTACGGTTTCTACATTTGTAAACAATGATCGATAATGGACCAACTATTGAGCGGTAAAAATGGACAATATACCAGTTTAAAGACAGGCCCCGCGCTGCAGTAGTATATGGTCGTGCTCCCTTGTGCAAGTAGCACAGCCCCAAGCTAGAGACTGTGGCTGTGGAGTTCCACTCTAGCGACTCCACAGCGAGCGAGGAGCGAGCTACAGCCGCTGAAAGTTCTAGTTCTAACGCCCGCCCAGTTGGACCGCCCACTTGCTAGATGCCCTCTGACGGGGGCCGCTCAGTTGTTCTTTGTTGCGGGGCGAGCTATAATTGGAAATGCATGCAATTTTTGCTTACAGCGCTCGCGCCCATAAGTGATTCTGCTCTCTTTATTACACTGTATTCATTACGAGCACATATATGCAACTTCGACCCATCTCGCAAGGTAAAACGCTAAAAAATCACGAGCGGCCCAATTTTCGTAGTGCAAAAGCTCGACGCACTACAAATACACAAGAAGATGTACGCTACCGTAACCCTAAATTCAGTTGTTTTTCGTATTCTTTTTTTGCATTGGATGATATCCACTACTGGGAGATGGGAAAAAGGGATGAGCCAGGGGTTAGAGACCGAGGAAGGTGTGACTGCCAGGGAGCGATTTTGTTTATGGTGTTGTTGGGGACTCTTCTGCTTCTTCTCTTCTTTGGTGAATTACTTATCAGCTACTGTTTCATAATTGAAAAGCAACTATCCATGACACTTTTATCGCGGGAGCTGCCTTTAAGTAATTGTATGATGCAACAGGAAGCCGAACCGAAGTTCTAGAATGAAGTATGCGTAGTTCGCTTGCGGACGTGGCGTGTCCGGTGGGATGAATTTGGCGCGGTGCCAAACCTACTTCTCCACCAGTTGTTAGAGCGAGTAAGTGATATGACTGTATCATATCGTTTGTATTAACTCGTTTTCTACCACTTTTTGTCGCATGCGCGCTTCAACAAGAAGGGCAGAGAACGGCTTCGACGGGTGACACACTCACACTGCCTGACATGCCCCACCGTCCGCAGCGAACAAGAGTGTACCTCGAAGGTGGCGGACCTTCACTTGAACTTGGCGGTAGCTGCCTTTTTGACTGTATGTTTCCGTTCTGGGCGCATTCTTGGCCGACCATAACAGCTTAGCTAACGACGTGGCCCTTATCCTTCCGTGTTTCTGGAAGCTCGCCAAGACTCCCATGAGAAATTTCCAGCTCCATTTATTCACTTCCAATCTTTTTTTTACCATCAGCTGCTTCAGTTGGAACTATCCCATGAAAAACGCATATTTACCATGTTAACGAAGCAGGCAGCTACACCTCTCCATCACGGGGATATGCAGTGTACGCAGGTAATACCGCTCGTTTCACCCATCAATTCAAAAGAAATTTCGTACCGATGTCTGATAGAAAGTAGAACTCGTTCAACAGCGGTTTCCAACAAACAATTCAGCGGGAACTAATAACCTTGGGTGGGGGGACGCTAAAGGAATCTTCATGCAAAAGTGGCATTCTCGCACTAGGTATGAACGCTTTCGCTCAAACCTGAAGGGCAGAGTTCCGAGACTAGTGAACCATTTCATTTTGGCAGTTGGGAACGGCACTGGCCTCCATCAAAGAAAATCTCATCGTGCTATTCGAAGCCTAGAACTATTCAAACTAACCCTATAAGAAAAACTGCGTTTGTTAGACAAGCCCCAGCAAAACAACGGCTCCATTGGGAGGCATGATCCACATGTCACAACAAATTCAGGAACACTTCAACGAACACTTGTCAAACGATCAGCTCAGAAGTGACATGCGTGAGCCGCCCGTCAGTCATCTGTGAAGAAATTAGCTTCAACGGCACTGCGCTGCTCTTCTAGTGAAGTTGAAAGAAAAGAAGACAGTCAGCTACCCATCAGTCTAGTTGAAAAGAAAAAAGCAGAAAAACTAACGAAAAATTTCACGCGAATAAATAAAGTTTCAAAAGCATAACAGTACTCATTACATCGGTCAGGTTCTGTCCCTACCACATGTTCCACAAAATTTATTGGTTATAACTAGAGGAATGGCGAGCGCTGAAATTTATTGTTTGCAGAAGAGTTTAGCAACATTTTCAATCCAGCTTCGCGCCAATCAAATATGTTTTTTTGGGATCCAAAATTGAAAAGGTCTCATGGGAGCCATAGCGAGCTCCCAATATCACGGAAAGAATAAGGGGTGACGTTTCACCCGTCTCTCAAGTGTTGCGTTTCGGCCTAGATAGCGCTAACAATGAAACAACTCGCCTCGTCCCGCTTATCTCGCTCGGAAGGTACTCGTAAGAGTATGTCGTTTATAATGACAAAGAGCCGCAGAAATCGTGCCGTGACTGAAGCAGTTGCAATTTCTCCCAGAGCATGTTCATACTTCGCGCTAGATCGCGAGGTATCAACGCGCGCTCATGAAAGAAGCTCAGGGAGGAGCAGCGTTTTTAGCGCCGATCAATATCTAGGCTTTTCTTTTGCTCAAAACACTGATTCTCCCAAAACGCCAAGTCGTATGTGTGAACGCAGCCTAAGAATGGGAAGCTGGTTCCAAGAAAAGGTTTTGGGGTAGGACTGGAACATTAGCAATGGGTGAAAGAAGTGATAACGACTGATAAGATGCGATAAAAGACGTTAGAAAGGGATTCACCGAAGTTCACAGCGTGTGTGTTCCAGCACCAGGGTGCGATGATTTCATACATCATGACATGGAGACATCGGCGGTCAATGAAGGAAAGTGATAGCAACAGATAAGATGATAAGTTTTTACGGAGAAATCTGCTACCCCGCCCACGAAAACAATGTGATCAATACGGTTCGATTATCGAGCTCTCAGCAATTGAAGGACAACCCGTTCCTATCATCTAATCAGTGAAGACATCATATACGACCGCTAAACTAACCGCATCAATGACAGATGTTAGGAGATGTGATAAGCGACAGAAGTGACTTTATCACTGACACTGCAATATTTCATCAACGGCGGCAGGGACTACCTTGCAGGCGTCCCACAGTTGGGCCCGTGAGGGAAATACGCTGGAGTAAGACCCTTCCGAGAACGCACGAAACAGTAACAATTTGAGTTGGTAAAGATCTATGAAGCTCTGAGGCTCACATGGCTAAACTGGCGGGCTGCTCAAGTTCTCGCGTAAGCTTAAGGTAATTTTGTGGTCAACTCAACGGAAAATACATATGAAAGGAGCAGCTATGATGTCTCTTCAGACACGACTCAGTAAGGGCTACCGTATCACGTTGGTCGGAAAATACGCAAAATAATTTGGGAAAGTTATTCTTTTAGACTATTTCAATTTCTGTGCAACGTACAGCCACTGACTGAGTGACGCACAGCAAGGTGAGAGACACGTAGGGCCATGTTGCGCAACTAGCTTTTCCCAAATCTTTAGTTCCACAACAGAAATGGTTACCATCTTAGAGAACTCTTCGCAGCTCAAGCTCGAACTCATGATCAGACGCTCTTCTGGGATATACAGTGGAAACTGGAGCACGATCCATACCCAACTCCTCAAGCGTTCAACTATTGCACAGCCGGTCAGAATGGAACTGCTCCCATTTTATTACTCAGAAAATGGAAATAAGTTGGAAAGCGGGACAAAAAAGGACAAAGAGACGAGCACAGGCAAGAAAAAACATCCAAACAGAAGTGCATTAAGGTGCCACAGACCTGAAGATTAGAGGTATGCACCCGACCATCCACTACTCGACGCCAACCTCAGGCAGCTTGTAGCTTCCATCGTTCCCGAAGGACGGGGGCCGGGACCCGAAGCAGGCCACAATGCCGCACA